CATGGGCTTAATGTCTTTGAATTATAGAATGGTAGAATAAATTATAAATTTTAAATTAACCTTTATTCTAGAACAAAATTTTTAATTTTTTGATTCAACACAAACAGATCTGTTTATTTATTTATTTATTTTGCATTTTAATTAATTTTTTTCTTTGATTCATTCATTTTTTTATTCAATTTTATTTACTCAATGATTTCTTTTATCTATTTCATTAAACTTTGTGATTACTGTATTTTTAATCAGAGTGATCATTTTATTGTTATTATGTTGTTGTTGTTTTTGTTTTTCTCTCTCCTACTTTCATGGTTCTCAAAAAATAAAACATCTTTATATTGTTGGTTGGTAGATCGGAGGTCACTTAATATTAAATTGATTATAATATTATCAAGTTTTTTTGAAGAAGTTGAAAAATATCCTTGATTTTATCCATATTTCATAAATATTACATTTAAAAAATTATGTAAATTACTTAGCTTGAATTAAAATTTCAATATTGTTGTATTCGTTAAGTTGAATTATTTTAATCTATCAAGGTTAATACGATATGTGATGATGAATCAATGCAATTATTTATTCTCATTAGCGCAATTCGTTTAAATCAAGGCTTCCTTCTCGTATTTATTTATTTACTTGAACACATAAATATTAGTACAAGGGGGCACCAGATACATATGCGCCACACAAATCTCATTTGATTTGTTTGAGGGCTGTGATGCTACCTGGGTGCCCAAACCGAAGCAGGTGGTTCTCTTAGGGGGCTACACCCGAAGCCTTTGACCTAAAGATCTGATCCACAAGTCAGTGGAGCAACGTCAGGAGATGCAGTCCCATGGTAGCCGGTGACCAATAATTGGTTCATACGCCATTTTTTCCCTCAGGATACTGAGCCAATGTGAACCATTAGTTTGGAATCAGGGTTTTCTAGCTACCCTGGGCGAACCCTCCATGTCCACCAACCCGGTTAAACCGTTGGACATTCGCTTTTCGCCATCTCAATTTTGTAAACAACACCCCTGCCACGAGAAGGCAGTGAGCAGGAGTTCTCTGGTAGTGGCTGTATACGTGTAGCCATGTGTGAGCATTTCGAGAGGGTGAGCGGACTTTCCCCATTCTCGGCCGTACCAGGGCATTTGGGGCTTTTCTTCTTGTTAACAGGCGAGGAAGATATCAGTGGGATCACGGATTTTCTCAATCATTGAAAGATTACTAATGTGGAAATGAAAAGCTATCGAATATTAATTTAGACAATTTCAATGACAACATTTCCAGTGGCATGAAACTCACAAACGACCATGTCTGATATTTGTCAAACTCACCATCATGTGAAAATCATTGAATGTGTTATTTTACTCTTTGCAAAAAAACATACTGTCATTGTCAGTTAGGCCTATTTATCATCGTCCCGGTTTTCAAATTCGTAGAATATGAGCTGATGAGATATTATTGGTTTGTTAACTGAATCAATTGCTGAAAAGCCCGACTAGTCTAACACCATCTATAAAATTGGTTACAAAATGTTTGTGTAGCATGTTGAGGACATGTATTGTGTATGTTACTTATGTCTGTCAACATAAATAGCATATCACACCATTCAGAAGTGGAATGCCTAGCAGAAGAATACTGAGAAGATGGAATTTAATAGAACTAGGTAGAACGGGAATGTTAACAAAGAGTAGTTGTAATAAAAACAGGAATGAAGGGACGATGAAGTTTGTAAGCGACAATTAATGGGAGATGTACAAATGAAGTATTAAATATATGGATTTTGTATTTTATCAAAGCGCTCTGTAATTTTAGCTTAAACAATAAATCGGTCTTTCCCACTTAAGTGTTGCTTCATTACACATGTATTTCACTACAAGAATGGCGAAGTTTTCGGTAAAATAAATCAAATTTTAAGAATATCAAAATCAATAATTCTTCTCATCAGATATGAAAAGTCTTTTTTTTCTAAGTTCCGATTTGACTTCTGTTATGCAAAATGATCATTATAGTCGGCGACCGGTGTAAGTCAATGTTTGAACCATTTTACTCTTTGCTTGAATACGAATAATTAGGAAATTAGTATAAGACTGGTCTGTGGTCACCTATAATTTCACGAAGAATCAAATCCACAATAATCTTGTACTAATAACAAAATATTTCACTAACAAATTTTGAAATTGATATCTTTCATATAACATCGTGTTTCTTAGTTTTAACTCATCTATAACGAAACTATGTCTGTAATTGATTACATCATTTGAAATATTTTTTAGTAATTATTATTCTTTTTTAAACATTTTTCGATCGCCCTCACATCAAAATCAAATTACATAGAGCTAATACGATTTCTAAAAATCATAAAAGTTACTCTTTAATATAAAGATAGGTAGTCGTATAACCATGGTAATTGTCACGACTGTATGTTATCTACAAATCATTATTGTTATTATTACTTTGGGCGTTTTTCTATGGTTATTTACATGTAAATATATATCTGTGTCCTATAATAATAATATTAGGGCATACAGCTGTTTTTTCCACTTGAGTATTTTTATATGTAAAATTCGTTAAATTTTAATGGTAAAATCTAACTACAACTACTTTTCAACTCAACTGTGTTTTAACATTGTGACCTGATTTTGACCCTTACTATTCTTCCTACGTTTTTTCTCTTATATCTCGTCACAGATATACATAGTTGTAGTTTTTTATGCTAGTTGTCGTTAAATCAGTTATAATATTCATAAGGAATCAATATTGTACGCTTGCCAGTGTAGGCATACTTAGTAAATAGTGTTATTTTAAACGTTAGTGATATATATATATATATATATATATATATATATATATATATATATATATATATATATATATATATATATATATATGATTTGAATGATTTTAACCCTGTGAATTCGATCAGTTATGAGCATTTTTGTTTTGAACTACAGATTCTGTTCTATGTAAAATGAGTTGGTTTTTTTACCGTAAATTTTGAAGTTTGTTACCAATAAATTAGTTAAGTAATTGTTTTTAACCTTTGTAAAATGATTATTTTGAGTATTCGACCTAAAATCTTACTGTTTGTATTAAATCTAGTGATACTAAACAGTTGCACAAACCGTATTAAGTGTGATATGGTGTCTCAACCATTGAATTGTTAATTGAAAACCGAACGCTTCGACCACCGATTAAGCTAGTAGGTCTAATAAAAATATCTTTTGGATATCTGGCTATTCTAATGAGAAAAAAAGGGTTAAAGTCGTTGGAGAATATTTGTAGCTCCACCGGATACTCTCGGTGTTGTCGTGTTCTTCAAGATCCATCGATATTGTAACAATATTGATAATTATCCACTCAAAGACGTGATGCGTGATTCTTAATTTCCAAATGTTCTTGAGAAGTTCCATTCAATACCCATTGGATAAAACATCTGAATTTTTCTGGGTTTCTAGTGACTTTGATGAATAATATTTCCGAATTACCCATCACTTAGGTAGAAGACATAGAGCGTTATACTAGCGTGCTGTACTAGTTATGTGGCAATTCAATCGTAAATTTTACATCATATACATAGGATAAACTGTGTCTCAAATATGTATGCCTTCAACGTTAGTTTGCTGGTTTCAACCTGATCACTAGGATAATGTAAAATCAATAGCATTTTATATATTTGACCAATAATTCTGAAGTATCAGAGTTCAATAATGTGTAACCATTGTAGTGTTGTTCAACTTCAATGATCACATAGTTAACTGCTAAATAGTTATAACAATACTTAATTTGTACTGAGCACTATTGAATATAATTTATTATTTTCTTATATTCGTCCATATGTCGTCCACTTTTTTTCAGACCTATTTTAGTTGAGATCATGAATCGATGAATGTTAGACCACTATTGAAACATTGGGAGGACTGGACGATCGTTTCGTCCTAATATGGAATCCCTCAAGTGTGACTCGAACCTAGGACCTACGGTCTCACGCGAACGCTGAACCTTGAGACCACTGGGCCGTGATCCATCGGTGTTCATGTCTAACTTCAATTAATCCACGATATTGAGCGACCATCTTCCACTGTCTGAGATGGATAAATTTCACACCTGACACAGATTAGACTCCACTGGTCACGGCTTCTCACTAGAACTCCGACAATCCCCTCTCAAAGCTAGTCACCAGTGAGGACATGATAATTATCGCCAAGGGGTTGTGGGAATTTTCATCCTCTTTTTTAATGTACATTTACAATACTTTTATGAAAGCCAGGTCTTTATTTTCATTAATTCCTTGTATTTCATAAATAGTTTTCTTGAATATAAAACAAATTTCATACAAACTGTTGTGACAAGCCGTGTCCGAAATCTGTCATTGATACATGGTATGCTACGCTCTGACCCCCCAACTGACTAATTGAGCGAAAATATAAGAGTGAGCGTGAAAGTACATCGGGTTACCGATTGAAATGCACAATTCCTTATATATATATATATATATATATATATATATATATATATATATATATATATATATATATACCACTCTAAACCTTAGGAAATTAATTCATCTCTGAGCTAATAAGATGCTCGTATTCTTTAGGTCCCTTCTGATTGGTTCACCATATCACAAACATCATAAATGTTTTCTAATTTTTTTTTGTCTTTTAATAATTTGCTCAATCAAATACATGAAAATATTATATTGACAGGTTGTTTTGAATTTGGATAATTTTATTGTGTGTATACCATTTAACATTTATCTTAAATCCAATATTTAACATGTTATTTAGTTTATTTGCAGTTTCCACTGTTGTTCTAATTTATGGAACATTAATACCCTTGTACATTTAACCTTAATGTTTATAATAACAGTCTTAACAGTTTGATAGCTTCTGGTATTATACTATATATATTGTTTATTTTGAGATTTATATTTTGATTTTTCTTCATTTTTTCCTATTATGCAATTTTATATAATCAATATGTTGGTGCTATCTGTTCACTACCATTCAAAGGTGATTGGTAAATGTTCACCTTATGTTACCAAAAGAAAAAGACAACAAACATTGAATAATCTAGATCTCCATTTACCGATAACTGAGGTAACACCAGTCAAAATTACAAAAACAGTAAATATTTTATCATCAGCTATAAATTCAAATAATTGGTGTAATGACCACTTATCGTCAACTAATAATTGTGTATCATCTCTGAGTTCATTTGATCTACTAAACAGTCCTGTTACTAATTCTTTAAGTATTTTACAAGTTGAATCACCTAAATTGAAAATAATGAATAGAAAATCGGACTTGAAAAATTTACAAAATATTAAGATTAATACTCCATCGACACTTAGTGTACCACTTATGGATTGTTTAATTTATAATGAGAATTATCAAGATCCAATATCGATTGATCCTTCCACAATATCATCTGATGACTGTCTGATTGATAATCAGGTAAAAAAAGTGTTTTGATCTGTTTGCCAGTATACCTTGAATGATTCAATATGCTGCTATTTGTTGCATTTTACATTGTTCTTTGTATATATATTTGCTTCTATGTTTCATCGTTGAAAATTGGTTTTATTTCTTGTTTGATATGTTCTGTTTTGTTTGATAATTTGTTTTATATATATTTACTTGCGTGTATGTATATCTGGCTTAGTGTTTTTTAGTGCTTATTCAAAATAATGTAAATGTGCTCCTATGGTCTTAAAATCTGACTGTTTGTTTAATGTTACAAGTCATTGATGGGATGTATAGAGTGATGTGTTTCTTGATGTGAATATGTTTTTTTCTCGTTATCAAGTATTTAAGAACGTTTAGTTATTTACTGCATGTTTACACATGGGTATCTTTTCATAACTATTGTTAATTGTGCATTGTGCTCTATGATAATTTTGCATTATTAGTAAATGTAATGTAATTTTGATTGTTCCTTTCTTGTTTTGTAGGTGAATAGGAAGTTGGCCCAATGTACATGTTGTAATAAATTGCATATGCAGCGTTTAGAAGAAGGTCGATATAAGCTAGGTTCACGTATTTATTACTTACGCAGATTTCGTAATCACGTCATGGTTCGAGTTGGTGGGGGTTGGCTAACATTAGATGAGTTCTTGCATCGTCATGATCCGTGTAGACGAGGAGTTCACTCATTTAATATGGAACCAGCAGTTGTAACTAATGATATCCCTCCCATCAAGTCATGTTTTAATGTCCCTAAACCAATTCGTCGACATTCCGAATTTGAATCTTCACCTATTTCACAGATCAATTCCATGAGTAATTTCAGCAGGCAATGGTCTTGTGGTAGTAACAGTAGTATGGAAAGCCCGAGAAGTGATTCCAGTATGATTGACACTGGAATAATTAGCGAGATTTCCAATGGAGGAAGCATTTCTCAAGCATCTTCTTCATTAAACTCCATTAAACAAAAACAAGAAAGACCAAAAACAACTGCTCGTCTTACCATACCAAAGGCTCCAAATCTTAGGACGGCTTCACGGTCTCGTGATGCGTCTCAGAAAAATTCAGATTTTGGAAAGAAAATTTCAGATATTGCTACTGCTGTTACACATTCTCGTGCTTCTTCGGCAAAGCGGACAAATGTTCCAGTAAATAATACAACAAATTTTCGAACACCATCACAGCCCCGTAATCTTTCATCAAAACGTGAAGACTCTGTATCAAGAGCTTCAAATATCCGAAAAGTTTCAAAATCGCGTGAATCCTCCGCTAAACGTGAAGAATCCACACTGACAAATTGTCGCGCGGATTCTACAACTCGTCGGACTCTCTGGAGAAATTAATTTATACATTTTCTTTCTCTTTTAAAAAAAACTCATTTGGTTGATTTTATTTGATTATTTATTTTACCACCAGTTATAAAATTCCATTTAACTGCTTTTTTGGTTAAGATTCCTCTACAGATAATCTGTCATACTTTGTGCAGAATACAACTTCACGAAATAGGTCCACTTGTTTTTGTTTTCGTCATTATTATTATTTTACTATGTTTTCTGGAATCTTTGTACATACGGAATTTCTTAAAATACTAACTCACATTATATAACCTTGTAATATCTTTGAAGAATAATGAAGTATAATATTTATTAGTATTGAAGTAAGATAAAAAAAGGAGAATTCTGGTCTTTTTTGTTATGTCATCTAGTAATTCGATTTTTTTAAACCGTTGTTTTATTGAACGATCAGGAACTTTATTGTAGTTATAGAGACAGAATAATTCAGTATTATTGTGTTCATGTTTTACAGTTGTTATAAGATGATGGGGGAATATTTGTAGACCAAGATGAGAATGTTGGAGATGTAATTTCCCTTGAGATTAGAGAACTCAATACTAAAACAAATTATTATTAAATCATTATTGAACTCAGTTAGTTCTCTAAATCTTTTATATTTCCGGATTTCAGTTTGATAGAATACAGTCGCCTATTCACCAGTAGATCATATGGATTAATATTTCATTATCTGAGATTATTGTGCAAGAGTATCTAAATTATACTAATTAATTTCAATTAGTGAATATATTGTGTACATAGATTGCGAATATCGAACCTCTTAATTGTTGATTCTTAAATATCTGATTTACCAAGGAATTTAACATTTCAAACCAATTTATATTACAGCGAGCGGGGAATTATTTTAATCGATACTGACGTCTTAGTTGAGACCATATTATGTATTCATAACTTGTTAAAAGTAATAAGTTTTTAATGGATCGAATATAGCGTCATCTACCATCATGGACTATTAGTCGTATTTGATTGAATTGGTTTTCCCTGCCTGTATTAATTTTTGTTAATTTGAACATCATATCTTATATTCTTACGTTTAAACGTTTTCAGAGTAAACGTGTTTGTGTTTAAAATATCTCATACGTATTTTACTCTGTGAAAGTGAAGAGATTGAGATTTGAACAAAGTAACAAGTTTTCCAGAAATATTCTCACAATATCGAGAGGACATGTAAATTGTTTGAGTAAGAGTTTTTGTTCATATCTCATCGCACTCGAATTTTAAATATAAAATTCTGGTACATTATAGTTTTATACCAAATACAGTTAGTGATAAGCAGGGTAGACATGTTAAGAAAGTACTCAACAGGATTAATTGATTAGGATTTCAAATGGGTGAGTCACATATGTTAAATTAAGATACAACTGATAATGAGATGGTGGAGAAGATTTGTAGCTCAGGTGGATGATTTTGGTGGAGTTTTGTTCTCTGAGCTGGATGGTTTGGTCGTGGAGCTTTTATCGTTCTTTTGAACGACATCATCAGCACAAACGTCTTCTACAAGATAAATTGTGCCAACTGCGAAAAACTACATCGGACAAAGCGGACGCCCCCTTCACCTTCGCCTACATGAACATCAATTAGCAGTCAAACGGCATGATATCTCTTCACTTATATCAATACACGTGGACAACTGCGGACACTCATTCGATTGGAAAAATGTGGAAATCTTAGACAGAGGAAACTCCAAAAACACCAGAGAGTTTTTAGAAGCCTGGCACTCAGGTCAACCAGCAATCAACAAGCATATTGAAATCAATCCAATTTATCAAGCAATCAGAAAAATCATGCACAAACATAAGAACAAAAATCAAAACAATGAGAGACAACCAAAACAAAGAAATAAACAACGACAAATTTAAGGTCAATAAGAACCAATCAACGTCGAGGTGCACAGAACAAGCTTTGAGACATATGGAGAAATTCCAACACTTCACTTCTATCTGAAGTTTGTGCTGATGATGTCGTTCAGAAGAACGATGAAAGCTCCACGACCAAACCATCCAGCTCAGAGAACAAAACTCCACCAAAAACTGATAATGACGTTAGAACAGGAGAAATGCTTGATTACTAAAATCCAATCGTAGTAACGATAAGTATTTACTAAAGACAACAAAACACATACATTTTTAATGGTAAATGAATTGATCCAGTAGTTGACGTGACGAAGTAATTTCAGCTAGACGGCTATTGGAAACAGCAGCAATGGTTAGCTGTTTCATCTTTGGATTGGACTGAAGAGTAAGCAACAATCACCCGTATCAGATATTGGACATAGGACCTTCCTTCAAATACTATCTTAATCACTGAATTGGCATGCACTGGTTCATTTTCCTAACATCGTTTTAGTCAGCTCTACACAATCTTAGTTTGCGTAAATGTAATTTGTCAGTATAAAATGTAAGTAAAAACCTAACATTATGATATCGGAGTTATGTATTTCGAACTAATTTGTTTACGTTGTGATTTTGGAATGAAATTAATGTTCAGTTGTATATGTGATATTTTCTTAGAGATCGATTGCATGTGATAAAAACTATGAAAGGGAGTTTACAATAGGCAAATTCGATGGATTTGAGAGTTGAAAAAATATGAGCTGGCACGTAAACATCATGTTTCTCTGCGGAGATTAATTTACTTCAAGGAATTATAGCTGACCCATTTTGAATAGTTTTTCTTATCTTCAAGCAGTAAACATTTCTTGTTAACCATCTCACTTTCATGTCTCTATATAATTGCTGCATATAATAAGTTATTTCCTCTCACACGAATCTAAGCATAAATGTTTCACTGGAAGTGTTTATCCGCACAAATACCAAAGTATAGTTTTTCAATAGTTCTAACCTAAGATCCTGGTATGTATCTGTGTTACAAGCCATTCTGTATTATGTAGTCCAGATATACTTATCAGTCTGAGACCTACGTTTAAAAACTATAACCAATCTAAAATATAGATCTAATCATTGTAATGCGCACTATGTGACATGTTTAATCTAAAGATTGCTTAAAAAAATATCCTATTTGTTTTTGCCTATCTAATTGTGTCTATCTCTGCATTATCATTTAGCCTGATGGTGACAACTCTGAACATACAAGACTACTGATTATCAACATGTATGTTCCTACTGTAGTTGAGAATCTTCAGTTCATACAGTTTGCACGCTAACAATATCACTAGTTTTAGCTTAAGATAATCAATAAATCTCATCGGTTTAATTTTTGGACTTTCAAATTTTACTCCTACTGTATTAACCTGAATTGCGCCTGTAAATCGGTCTGAATTTTCCTTGTATTCAAATAATACATATATTATTATATAGATGAATGCTAAAAACTGAAAGGTTTCTTACAATAATTCAATGATAGTTTTTCATATTATATGGTTATCAGTTTGAAAAACATCTTAATTGATTGCTTTAATTGAATATCACAACCATGAAAAGTTTTAGATTATTATAAATCTTAAGAATAATATGACCTAATGTAGTATGTTTTATACTAGGATAATTGTTATATGTACGTTTCTATATAAACATTGTATTAACACATGAGAAAGAGAAAACTCAAAGTACACACGGTCATCATGTAACCAACACGTTTGCTTTCAAGTGCTAGTTTGAACATTTTTATGATGGTTCAAATATATGCACCGGACAGGTTTTAGATAAAATAACTGTCCCAGATCCTACTCTTAACCATAACGCAAATATTTCTGAATTTTTTGTAAAATGTATTTTTGCGAAAGTAGTACAAGTGAAATAAAATAGTCAATCAGTTGACCGGTGTCTAGAAGGTAGAATCAGTTATACTCGACGTAATGTACAGAAAACATGAGACTAGAATAAATATGTGAAAAAGCTCTGGATCGTTTTATATATATAAGTTGATGTTATGATAAAACTTTTATAATACTACCAAAACATAAATATTCATTAAATTTAAAGTCAGCTAAATTTATTTATTTGAGCACACAAATGTTGCTACAAAAGGGCACCGAATACATATGTGCCATACAAGTCACTTGATTTGTGTGTGGGCTGTGGTACTGCCCGTGTGCCCAGACCGAAGTAGAAGGGCCACACCCGGAGCCATCGACCTAAAGGTCTAATCCACAAAGCAGTAGAGCAACGTCAGGAGATGCAGTCCCATGGTAGCCGGTGGCCAACAATAAGTTCGTACGCCTTTTGTCCCTTCAAGATCCTGGAGCTCATGTGCACCATTGGTTTGGAACCAGGGTTTTCAAACTCCCCTAGGTGGATTCTCCATGTCCACCAACCCGGTTAAACCGTCGGACATTTGCCTTTCGTCCTCTCAATTCCGTAAACAACACCCCTGCCACGAGAAGGCAGTGAGCAGGACTCCCCTGGTAGTGGTTGTGTGCACGTGGTCATGTGAGTGCGTTTCGAGGAGTGCAGACTCTCCCCACCCTCGGCCCTGGGAGGCAATCAACTTAATACGCATAAACACGTGGTTATTTTGCGTATTTGAAGTGCACAATACATCTATATAATTCATAAAGCGATTTATTAGCTATCGCTTGTATGAAAGGATAAACCTTTTCATGATTCTACCATTTACTTGCTAAAAATTATTCATGATCACATTACAGAAAATAAGTTGATTTTTTTATGTAACAGTATCAGATTTGTAAATTGTGACAATGAATATCGAAATTAACCACTCTGTTTAAGTATATTTGTTTTGTTACAGATACTCAAGTAAACAAAATAACAGTTTTATGATAATTTACAAAGAAAGAATTTCAAACTGCGTTAATTGATTAGCTTATTACTAGCTGATTTAGTTCATATATTCCAGTAAGAATCATTAGGAAGTATAACGTTGACGTTCTTGACATTCAAAGAGGATGTTTTCTTTACTAATTATAAAATTCTGTTCACGTAGTGGGACATTTTCACAAATGTAGCTGTCATTAACATACTGTGTGGAACTTAGTCTTGTGTTGATTATTTTTTTTTGAAAACTTTTTGGTAAACATTTTATTGTTGGTTGGATCTGCTGTACTGAAATAAACCATGATTCTAAGTATTGTAAATACATGTGTAAAAGAATCAACCTTAAGAAGTATACTTTATTGACAATATAAATGATATTGTTTAGTGTCTAAGTCTTTGGAACAGACAAGTGTTGTCCATATTATTAAAATAATTGGAAAAAGAAAAGCGAAAATTTACTGATAGGGAATGTTTTCATCATAAGGACAAACTTTTAAAAAATTAAAATGCAACAGTTTACTGAACCATTCTTCATCCTCGAAACTACATTTTTTTCAACATGGTCTCCATAGTAGATAA